AAAATTAAGCCTAACCCAATCTGATGGAAAAGTAATTAATTTATCATAATGTTCATTTATGTTGATTAGTATTCTTATGGTCAAGGTTGATTAGATTAAATCACAATTAATCCTGTAATCATGATCTTTTGTTAATTGTTGGATAAAAAAAGTTACTTGATCAGTAACAATTTACATACAACTTTCTGGTCAAGGATTTGTTTTCCCTCTCAGTCAACAAAAACTGTCCAGTAATTGATTAACTTGATTAAAGTTAGTGAAATAAAGGGATTAAGATTAAGCAAGATGATGATGATGATGATGATGATGAAAATAGCGGGAGGAGGGATAAGAGTGGGTGGTGATGAAGATGATAAATAACTTGAATTTGTTGTTACCTTGAGGCGATTTCATCATTACATTTATTATACTTTAATCATGATACGAATATAAGTTTTAACTCTTAATTGTAATAACATTTCATTCATTATCTTGATCATTTTTACTCATCTCTCATCTCTCATCATCAAATACTGTTTACTATTTTATTTATCATCATCATCTTAAATATCATCTATTCCCAAATGAGAAACAAAAAAGTCCAACCTGATCAAACAAGAAGTGAGATAAAAACTGCATCACTTTCATCATCTGAACCGAGAGCATCCTTCATCATCTTTAACAAGAATGTCTTAAAAAGATGATGATGATAATTTCAAGCATGATTTAAATTGTTTTAACAGCAAATTGGTTTTTGTTTTATGTGTTTAACAATTTACAGCGAACCAGCAATAAGCAAGTAAGCAATCAAGCAACCAAACAAAAACCATCAACTGCAAAAAAAGTACCAAAGGTTAGCAAAAGCCAATTGATGTTGTTGTTTCTGTTGATGATCATCATTATTAAGGTTTTTTTGTTGCTGTGGTGACGCATCTTATTGCTGGTAATTAACACAGAGTCTCAAGAAAATGATTGATGGTTTACTTTGCTCTTCTCTTAATTTTTTTCTCTTCTCTTGCAAATCTAATTCCTCATCACGTCTCCATCTTCATCTTCAACTTGATCTTCATCTATTTTTTTTCCATATAAAAATAACATTTCCAAACTATTTTGTGGCTCAGTTTCTGGTTGCTCGCTTATACGAGCCATCGAGTTGAATACATGAGAGGGATGAGGATGGAGAGAGAGAGGAGGTGGTGGTGGTTGATGACGATTATTATTTAAATGATGATGATGATGATGATGGAGAAGGTATTATCAATGTAGACTATAAAAGATGACATTTAGTTGGAGACATTGAGACGAGAGTTCGACAAAATTTTTCACTTTGACTGCCCGACGAAAAGAAAAAGAATCAATTCGAAATTGAACCGGAAAGAAAAGTAGGAGGGTCAGGGGTGGAAGAGAAGGAGGATGATAAGTTGTAGTATATTCGTAGTAATGGAGAGAGGGTGATAAAGGTAAGTGAGAGAGAGAGAGAGAGATAGTAAAGGTCGAAAGGTAAGGCATCCCCTTCGAAAATGAAGAAGAAAAAAGAAGAGAGAAAAAGAGAAAAGAAAAAAGTAGAACAATAGTTGATAAACTGTAATGGGTGGGGTAACATGGGTTTTAAAGGTATATTATTAACTAGAGATGCGAAGATAATAATAATGTGTATTACCTGGACAATGGTCATTGGTCATGCAGCAAGAGACATGGTAGAGTTCATTGAATAACAATAGAGGAGAAAACATGAGTTCCCCTTAAAGGTCAACTTTGTTACACTCAGCGGGAAATCACCTTCACTTTGGGCCAGGCTACAATTTTATAAACATTCGGGATCATCTTCATCTTTTTTCTTGACCATGATGATGATGATGATGATGAATCTCATCACCATCTTCTTGTCAGCTAATAATTGCATTCCTCATATTTGACACTCGTCCTTGGTCAAGCAGAGATTCATTTTCTTTACAAGAAAAAAATTGACTTCATCTTCATCTCTCTCTCTCTCATATTTTATCATATTCTGTCTTCTTCCTCATGCTCATCTTTTCGTTCTTGCTCCCTCCCTCTTCATCATGATTAGTATCAACAATTAGTTAATTTGATAAGGTCAATTAACTGTTAGTTTAATAATAACATTAAGTGAGTATGATGATTGTGGTTTTCACTGTGGGAAAATTTTGTCTTAATTTTTTTTTTTAATTCATCAACCAATTGAACAATTGATTCTTACAATAAAGTTAAATATGATTAGTTGATTGTGTCTCTTTTAGGTTGATTGTTTTTAACTTTTTAAATGAAACAATCAACTTATAACCTGATTTATGTTTACATAATCAATTAAATCTCATTGGTGATAAACATGAACAAACTTTTTGATAAATTGTTTATTTGATTAACTGTATTGTTGGTAAGTTAATCAACTAACAATTTAGATATTTGTTTTCATTTTCTGATTGTTGTTGCTGGATAAAAGTTACTGTTTACTTTGGCATCAAATTTCAACAATCAAAGTGTCACAATTAAAAAAATGATCATCATTTGGTTTACAATGATAACTTTAAAATAACATTGTTTATATTTGATTGTCATCCAAATGATTGTTGATCATTAACCATCATTAAATTAATATCTATCAAGTTAATCAATTGGTTGTGTTTATATTGTTAACAATTGATATCAGACTAATTTAATTTAATTTAATCAACTGAAACCATAACTGGATTAACTAACGGTAACAAATATATTTATTATTTGGTGACATGTTGATTGTTGATTAAATAGCCTGTAGGCAATTAATTGTTAATCAACGGTTAACAATCAACAAAACGAAAGGGAAAACACAATTTAATCAACAAATCTCACAAGCAATCAACATGATCATTACTTGATAATAATAATAATCTAAATCAAGTTGGTAAAACATTAAATTGATTGAAAATAATTTTTCAAATCAAACGTTGAGTTAACTGAGTAAATATTGATTCTTGTATTTTCATATCTTCCTGTAATCACACTTGATGATTATGATGATGATGATGATGATAAATATTGGGATGAGGATGAAAAGATGATCATAATATAAATAACAATGAAATTATCACTCGATGTCAAAGTGGAAAATGTAAATCAAATGTTATCATTAATAATGAGTAAACATTAAATTGCGACAATTTATCCCATTGTATTCACCACAATATGCTTCCTCCTTCCGCCTTCATCCACCCACCGCCTTAATACCCTTTCATACCCACTCTCCTCATCCTATTTATCATCCTCATCATATTATCAATTCAAAATCAGTTATTATCATTTTTAAACATAATTTCTGATAATGATTCTTGATCATCTAATGACCTTTACATGTGTTTCAATGGGTAGAACCAACTAATTGTAATGCTCAACAAGATGATGATGAAGATGAAGATGAAGATGATGATGATGATGATGGTGATAAAGATTGTCTCTTACATTTGAATGATCAATTAAAGTAATTACACTAATTTTTTTTCTTTACACAATATAATTTAATGTTATATTCCTGATACCTTTTTATATTACATTGAGTTTACAATAGCAATCAACTAATCAATTGATGAAGAAAAAGCTTCAATCTAATCATTATATAAGTCGTCAGCTTGAAAATGTAATCTAATGTAATTTGTGGTTTCTAATTGTGATCACAACAATTTCTGTCAATTGTAACCATAAAAACAAAATTACCTCGAAATTGGCCCACTTCATCTTCCACCTCCTCTTCATCATCATCATCATCGGTGGGTGTTAAATGTAATCCTTAACATTTTCTTCATCTTGTCTAATATACTTTTCTCATTCAATTGGCATCTTCCTACTCTTCCAATGGAATCGAGAAAAAAACAACTATTCAATTTAATCAATCTTCCGTGAAAATTTATTTGGCCTTTGCAACTTACAGCATCAGACAAATTTTCATCTCTCTCTCTCACTCACTCTCTGTGTTATTAGCTTGTCTCATCATCTCCATCCTCATCTTCATTGTTATTATTGGCATTATCAAAGACCCAAGGTAAAAAGGCTTTGCAATGATGACTTTTGGTGATGCTGTTTTATTGCATTGGTGTTGATTGTGTTCCAATTGAAATGCAATTGAAATTTTTTTACAAATTGTATTACATTTACCACCCCGGTCCACCCTCCACCTCCTCTTACTTGCCTTTGTGTACATTTCATCCTTGACAAGTAGACAAAAAAATACCTTGTTGACCTGGGTCATTAGTTAATAGATGGCGAGTGCGCCTCCCGAACGCTTGATCATCTTGCAAAGTGGATTCCTATTCAGAACTCAATCTACAGAGTGTTAGAATGTTATATTTTTCTGTATTTAGAAAATAAGATGAAGAAGAGAAGAAAAAATGTTCTATTCGAATTGATTATTATCATTATCATTACCTTGATGGTCATTTTTTTGTTTCTCCTAAGGAATCAAATATCGAGAGAAAAAGTTTTTCATCTCTTTTGAAAAGTTTAATCTTCCAGGGATTTGAACCCAATGTCCATCATGTAATTTCATTTGTTTCATCTTGTTATTATTTGAGGTTTTACTCTTATCCTGTTGGTGATTATTACTTAAACCTTAATCCACACAAGGATCTTGTTCAATCCAATTATCCATTGAGAGATTATCACTTTTTGTTATTGAAAGAGAGTAAAACTTGTAATCATAATGATGATATTGTTGTTATCAAATTACAAAGACTTTTACACCGATGGTTTAAAGTGTAAAATAGACTAGGAAATGGACTTTGCAATTAACTAACTAACCTTTTTACTCGTAACCTCAATTTGTCTTAAAATCATTAACCGTTGATTGTTGTTGATTGTAAATTGATGTTGTTCACAATTAACTTACTTGTCATTTGCAATTCCTGTGAAATTTATTACATTTACAATTGGTTTTTGCTCAGTTTCAACTTTCTGTTTTTAATTAACTTTTACCAATGTAATGATAATAATAAATACTAATTGTTGTTTATTTAATGTTTAACTTTTATTAGCTTTGGACAAACTTGGATCAATAAACAACACTGAAGATGAGGCCATTTTAACGGTCGATATAGCGATTAACACGGCATTTGACATTACATCGTTAGTCTTGTTTGGTACTACAGCACTTCCGGTACGATTAAAGATACTCTTGGATAAAATGTTCAGCAGTTTATCACCTAAAGATATAATCAGAATCCTCACATCATTTGGCTGGTCCTATGAAGATTATAATCGAGCCTACAAACTTGAGGTAAGCTAATTAATTACTCTTGAAAGTAACGATGTTTATGTTTATCCATTTGTTGAGATAAACATCATCATGTTAATTGTGTTGATGATTCTGATGACGAGATCATGATTAACATCATGTAAACTCCCCTGTGACTCTGTGTATGTCTAATTGTTGAAACAAGATGATGTTTCCTTGGGTGGGATCACCAAGTCAGTGGGGACTTTTAATGGACTTGAGCCAAAGCTTTTTTCCCTTATCATTATCATCCTCATCATCACTGATTCTATTCACAGTTTATCATCAGTTCTAACTGTGTATCTAACTATTAGAACTTTTTCTTTCGAAAATGAATATTCTTTTTTTTTCTCTACAAATTCGAGCTCAAATTGATCTTATATAAACTGCTGACAACGGAACAATTTTTTTCAATCAACAGTTTATTTTTGAGCTAATCCATTGCATCCCTTAATCTTTTAATTATCATGATAAATTTATCACCCGGAACAAGATCACAAACACCAAAATATACACCAGAACACAGGGTGATCCTTAATTATCTTACCAGTAACATTTTCCAATCCAAATAAAGGCTGATTAATTAGTGTAAAGTGGTTAATCACTTTGATAATGTTCATTTGCTATTATTAGTTCATGTTTCTGTTTCTATGTGAATTCAATCATCATTAGCTAAAGTTAATTGTGAATCAAGTTTATTGATTAAAATCAAACATTATCATTACAGTTAGTAAATGATTAGATACAGTTTATCATTAATTAGCTTGTGATCAGTGGACATTGCATTTTATTATCATTATCTGTTATTAATTAATTGTATCATTTGACATTAGTTGTCCATTAAATTACCAATAATATTCAATGGTCATTAATTTAAAGTTAATTAGAATCAGGAAAACAAAAGGATTGCTGGACAATCAAAAATTAAACCATGAAAATGATATTATCATGTTAATCTGTTAAATCACAACATTCAGTTGGTGTAACTCATTATTCATTGATTAGTTAATTAGCTTCATATTAATGGGTCTTGGTCGTAATTAAATTTATCACTCAAATCATCGTGATAATGATCAACAATTTACAGTAACAATTAATCAATCATTTGATTTGGTGATTTTTTTGCTTCGCTTCAATAATAAGTTAAATTGTTGTTTTAAAACTTTACAATTCAATCAACTTTTTTTGGTTGTTCACAATTTACTCAAAATTAGCAATAACAATTTACCTTTGCAATTGAAAATGAAGGAGAGAAAAGTTTTTAAAATTTGGTTGTAATTACAATTTATGTAAATTAGATTGTAACAATTTATAAATTGTGATATAAATTTGCCTTTTGTTTTCTAAACTGTTGGTTTGACCAGTGAAAGTAATTGATAGACATTTCTCATGATGATGATAATCTGATGATGATTATGATGATTATGAAGATGATTATGATTATCTTACTAAACCAATCAGCATCTTAAAGACATTGAATTGGGTGGTCCAGTCACAGTATGTTGTTTATATACACATAGAGTCTCAATGTAAGTACAGTTTCTTGCATAATATTATGCAGACGACTTCATCTTGCTTATATTTAATACTTTTGTCTGTGTATAAGAAGATGGGAAGATGAGGATGATGGCAAGAAGAGTGGAAAGAATGAGAGAGAAAGAGAGAGGTCAAACTTCCCTCCGTGCAGAAACATCAAGTTGACCATGTACATTGTGCGGCCATAAACCGACAGTGAACTTCAGGTGGTAACTCTGGTGCTTGGAAAAGTAAAGGCGAGTTACCAATGTGAATATTACACTGGTGTAATTTTTTTCTTCTCTTACTTTTTTACTCGAAAACAGTTTAGTCTCTAACATAAACTTAATCTTCTCAATTCAAACTGAGATTTTAGGCTCAGTGAATTTTTTTTTCTTCTTGAGAACTTACCTTTTCCTCCCCACTTCAACTTTCTCCACTTTAACAGTTTCCTGTGTCATCTTAAGGTAACCAATTCCCTGCTTGTTACCTTTTGTTTTGTTTTATTCGTTGAATACTCAAGGCATTGGTAGCAAAAAGTAATAGTAGTTGTATGAAGAAAGAAGTAGTAAAATCAAATGACCGATTTATTGGAACCTAATTGGTCAAGAATTAGCATTTACTCTCTAGGTACGAGAATATAAACTTACCCTCCTTGGAATCACTTGGAACATGTTTTTATACCTTTTCTCCTGCGGGTCATCAAATGGCCATCGCCAGAACAAGGAGAGAAAGAAAGTCAATTGATTTCTCTCAAATTCTTGTGAGAAAATAATAAAACACCAATTTTATTACATAATGATGGCGACATTTACCTTTTCTTAGGCCATTGCTACCTATTTTTTGCAACCTTTAATTTGACCCTGAAAGAAACAACAACCAACTAAATGCATGGACACATAACGATTTCTACAGGTATAACCATAATCTTCATCATCTCCAACAAACAAATAACAGCACTAACTGATTGCAATCAGTTGCATTCAGATGATTACAAATACAATCAATTGCAATGGTTAATAGTTTTCAGTATTTCCAATGAATTTCCAATGATTTTTGCTACTCAATCTCTCAATTGATTCCAGTGTCTATGGAGTTTCTAATGCTATTATAACCCAACCTGCACCAGTGTTACCTGTTTATCATATTGCGTGTTAACCTTAGCCTTTAGTTTTTTGTTTCTTCACAAAATCGCTTACATAATAAACCTTTTACCTTTAGCGTTGGTCAAACCGGTAATACCCCTCGATACAATCTAACTGACCCCTCCACTGACCCTCTATTGATTTTAGTATTATTTTCATTCATTCATCATCAAATATATAATATCTTAGGGTCTCAGGTTTTTTTTTACACTTTTACCAACAAGAAGGCAACAAAACTGTTTTAAAAACTTATACCTACTTTTTATCATTGGTTTTATTTTCATCCTCATCATTATCTTCATCATTTTATCATCATTTTTTTGTTATATACTCTCCATGATGATGTTAGATTACTTTTCAATAGCATCAATTATTTGTACATTTATAACATAGATTGATGGCCTTTCCTTTCATTCATTTGACAAATGGTCAAGAGTAGGATCCAAAAAGCATCCTCATCTTTTTTTTCATCTTACACACACTTTAAAATGATGATAATCATGTAATCACAGTTAAGATTGATATTTTTTTATCCTCGCCATTTTTAACTATCAACTGTTAACTAATGATCAACAAAATTGATTTTAATTTGATAGTAAATGATATTGAACTTTATTGTTACTTTGTCTCAATTCAATTTTTTTCCTATCAAACTTTTTTCTCCTACTTCTTGTATCGCCTTTCAAAAGTTATCATTATCAACTGATTGTTTATGATTTAAGAGGGAAAATTAAAGCTAATCATGTTCATCATTAAATGATTAACTTAATTGTGTAATGACAAGACACTGGTGTGTATTATTATTAGTTAAATACCCACTCTTTAAATCAACATTAAACTAAATTAGATTCTCATTGTAGAGAGATTAACAATTTTTCATTTCTCTTTTTTTTTGCTAATCAACATCTCTAATTGTTTCATGAATATATTTTAATATTTACTAATCGTATCCTCCACCTTAAAATTGTAATGGTCAAGATATATGGATGATGGTCAGTGAAAATTATGCTAAATTTATATATATAAATATATAAATTGTACATCTATCGCCAAGGTCAAACAATTAAAGATTCACTGATTAGTTTGTTGTAAATTCATTTCTCTCATTCTGGTGTATTAACATTTAAGTTTTTTCTTGCTGTTTACTTACCTTCATTATAATTAAATTTGTGTAACAATTTAGCTCCAAGCAATTTACTCATTATCTTTACTATTAATATATATATATATAAATATGAAACTCCAATCCATCCCATAACCCACCCGGTAATTTTGTACACCTTTTGAATGTTAGACTTAGAGGGTAGCTCACAATGTGATGGCCATTCATGAAATAATAATTGTCCAACAATTTACCCTTAATCATCATCTTAATCATAATCATCAATGGATGATGATGTAAATATTTTCTTGTCTTAAATATAATAACATTCACCTGGGCTTGGCCATTTACCTGTCTCCATCATTTTGTTTTTGGCTCCTCATCCTCATCATTTTTTTATGACCCAATCAGATGAAGATAAAATATCATCAGAGTAATAAAAATGTTTCATCATCTTCATCAGATATCAAATTATTATTATTATTATGGGATTGGCTTTCTTTTCATCTTTAATCTTTATGGGATAATGATGATGATGATAATTAACTTTATCTTCATCGTCATCATTAATAAGATCATTTCTCTTCCTTGTTATCATTTTAATTAAAGGTGCTAGAGCATTGGTTGTCATGGTTACTCGATTCTGATACAATTCCATAGTTATATCGATATTAATTAAAACTTTTTCTTCATTCGTTTAATGTTGATTATCATTCTCATTGGACATTAATTGTTACTGATTACGTTTTCAGCTATTTAACAGGAAACTGTTTCATTAGATTTGATTAAAATAATCAAATATCATCATCAATGATTTGATTATCATCGTTTTCAATGGTTAATAACTTTTGTCCTTATAATCTGATAGTAAATGATAATCAATATGAATTGTTATCATTTCAATCAACAAAATGATCAACTAAATATTAGCAATCTAATTAATATTTATATACATATAGGGTCTTGATTTCACAAATAATTTGATGACGATAACAATTAAATCAACATATAAACACAAATTTAAATGTGTAAAACAATTTCACTGATTGTTACGATTATCATGATAATAAAATATATTTATATTATGTGTCAATTATGAAATTAGTTAATTCAGTGAAAAAAGAATCACTAAAATCCGTAAGTGAATCAGTTTGATTATAACAATTGATAGACAATTATTATTATGATTATCATGATTAGCCAATTGATTGTGATTCAATATGATCCGATGATGATAACAT